ACAAAAACAGGGGAGTAGTTAATCTTACAGTTCAGAAACAAAGGACCCTAGGACCATCAAGGGAGACGAGCACAAGCGGAATGCGAGACCTTTATCCAGAGAGGCAGCGACACCAAAGATGGAGGCAGAGATGGGGACATGGAAAGAGGGAGCAGTTGAGGACTCTAGATTAATGGGAAGTGAAGGACTAAGAGCTGGCAGCCAGGAGACAGACTTGCAGAAGGTGCCTTTTGGTGGTGTAAATTATTATGTATGCCTCAGTGATTTTTTTTTTTTAAAAAAGAGCTGAAGTGAATAGAGAGAAATACTGTTAACTGATGGTACATGGAGGGGATTATAATCATTATAATGAAACAAGGTGTTTGATTTGTTGAATGTAAAACTGGTGAACTGGCTTGTAAACTTTCATTCAATTCACAATAAGAACTTTAAAAGATGCTGTGGGATAGACAGTCTGGGCACTTATCATTGGAAACCTACACTCCTATCCTCTTCCACCATCTTTCTTGAGCCTGTGGCTTTCATTTGCATGGTTGCATGATGGCTACCAAACCTTCATCCAGGAATCCTCATACAGTAACTTCTGCTTATATCTTACATTGGCTTGAACTGTAACATATGGCTACTTCTAACTGCAAGGAAAAGGGATAACATGTTTAATTGGGTGCCTTGCTTCACCTAATAAAACTGTGGTTTGGTTAATGAGGAAGAAGAGGAGAATGAATGTTGGGTAGACAACCAGCTTTCTCTGTCACAATCCCTAAATGGCATTCTGAAGAAAAAGCCCATTCTTTTACATGTCAGTGTCTCAACATTGACATTTATATTACACAAGTGAAGAACTAGGAAGATGTGAATTTTCAAAGCATAAACAGATAGCTATGAATGATTAATTCTTTTGTTATTTCGTACCATAAAAGCCAGCTGAATGTAGTATTAAACTTCAGAATGGTGCGATGTTTATATTCGAAGTAGGAATTCATGTTAAATAGCTTTGTATGGGAAGATTAGGACTAAGAAACACCTCAGGATAGATCAGTTTGGTTAGGGCATTACTTGGTAACTGGTAGATAACACTTCAGGGCTTGAGTATGCTCAAAAGAGTATGCTCAAAAGAGCCCCAACTCCAAGCTAGTACTCAACATTTAAAATGTAAAACTTACTTAATTTTTTCTGACTTGGGCATTTTTGGATAGACGTACATATACTTCATTCCCTAATTCAATGTGTCTCAATTCTCATTGTGCATTGAAATTGTCTGAGTATTTAATAAATAATTGATCCCAGAGCCCCTCCCACCCTAGACACTGGTTCTCTTCGTCTGGGATGGTCTTCTAAATGAAAAGGAATGGAGATAAGTATTAAATAGTGACAATGAGAGTAGAGGGGAGAGGGCAGTAGAACTTTCTGTGGTGTTGGAAATGTTATAAATGTGTTGTCATGATCCACACGTGGTTGTTGAGCACCTTAAGATATGACTAGTGCAACTGAGCATCTAAAATTTGTATTGCATTGTATTCAATTTAAGTGTAAATAGACTCCTACGGCTCGTGGCCATTTTATTGGACAGTGCAGATTTATTTAGGAGGCTGAGTATATGGGTTCCAGTTACTGATGGCGAGAGAAGAGGGTAGGAGTGGGAGAAAAGGGAAAAAGGGGGAAGAGTTGAGCATAGCCTCAAACTGTGTACCTTCAGTAAGGGGTCAGGTACTGAGACTGGGAATGGGGAACAGAGGAGTAGATGCACGAATCCTATCCTGGACCTCAGAAACGACTAGCACATGACACAAGCTCTGGCCTATTTTAGGTGCTTACTCCATGTTGGATTGTTTTAATGATACTTGGGCAGGGTTCACAGTTCCTGTGTTCTATTTATTTAGTACAAGAGTCCAGAAACCGGAAACAGGGAGGAAGTGAGATGAGAATTGATACATTGTGGGGATTGTAATCAATGTCATGAATCAAAATGGGAATGAATTGTTGAAAGGAAAACTAAGTTGCTTTGTAAACTTTCCCTCAAATCACAATAAACAGTTAAAAAATAAAACAATATGCTCTAAAAGTATTTCTGAAAATAGTATTTTCGTCCTAGTCAATTTTTTATCTTTCTCTTTTTTTAAAAATCAGGTATCAAATTGTAGTGGAAATAATCCAAGCGACTACAATTAGCAGCTTTCCCCAACCGAAGAGACACAAGGGTAAGAACCAGTTTTGTTTTCTTTGGATAGACATTTTAGAAGTCCTCTCTGTCTTGTCAGATGTTTGGCAGCCATATAAGCATTCTTGTGACTTGTATTTAAATAGTTTGATTTATTAGAAAAATTAAAATAACACTGATAGTGGTGGTGGTTGTCTGCCATCAAGTTGGTTCCAACTCATTGTGACCATACATAAGGTTTGCAAGGCTGTAGCATAGTGGTTACGAATTGGACTACTAATCTCACGGTCATCAGTTCAAAACTACCAGCTGTTCCGCGGGAGAAAGATGAGGCTAATTGTTCCCGTAAAGATTTACAGCCTCGGAAACCCTGTGCAGGGTCACTATGAGTCAGAACCGACTCCACGGCACATAACAACAACAACAGCAAAATCTTTATGGGAGCAGAAAGCCTCATCTATTTCCCATGGAGCGGCTGGTACATTTGAATTTCGGACCTTGTGGTTTACAGCTCAACTCATAACCCCTATGCTACCAGGGTTCCTTGAAGTAATCCTACAGAAAGTAAATATAATTTCATCCTAACAAATATATTTTTGTTTCTTTATAAATTTGAACCATAGGTAGTCATAAATTTTAGAACATTCCATTCATTCTGTTCTGTTCTTAAAATGAAACCTGATTTCATAATTTATTTTTATATTCAAATTTAATTTTACTTTTATCAACATTTATATCTTAAAACAGTAATTTTTAATAGTAATTTAAAAGCCTGAAGTAAGATATTTTATAATTAACCTTTTTCCTTCGTTAAGCATTTAGAATATTAATAACTTTTTCTTTCTCCTTTATTGTAGATATAAAAAATATAATCTGTAGTTTGTTTATCTTCAAATGAAGAAAGATTTTACTCAGGCATGATGTTCTTGTTGTTAAGTGCTGTTAGGGGTTTCAAGGAAGGTTAGTGATTTTGAACCGACAACCTTGATGTTCAAACTGTCTTTACCTTACAGTGTTTAAGGAGCTCTGGTAGCGTAGTGGTTGCAAATCGGGCTATGAATTGCAAGGTCAGCAGTTTGAAACTACCAGCTGTTCCACGGGAGAAAGATGAAGCTTTTTGCTCCTGTAAAGATTTACAGCCTCCTGTACAGGGTCGCTATGAGTCGGAACTGACTCCACGGCACATAACCACCACCACCACACATCCAGGGATGATACTGAGGGACATAAGGAACAAGCATCGCTTTCAAATCTTGCATAATTTTCCTGGGGCTATCATATCTCCCATTTGCATATGAAGTTGGAGACCTTGTTAATATCAATGGTATAGGATAGGTCTTGATTTGAAGCTGAGAGACAATAAAACATTACTTCCACCTTGCAGACTAGACTGTTCATGATTATCTTCAGGCCCAGTTGAATCCCTGTCAAGGAGTAGAGGCCTAAAAGAACATGTTAGGGTTGGGCCAGAAAGTTTGAAGATGTACTCCTGGGTTTATAACACAGAGGCAAAAGGAAGCTTAGAGTTGGGGGCTTTTCCTGAGTCACTGACAGAAGGCAAGAGCTGTGTAAAAAAGAAATGAAGGTATAAGCTTTGAAAAGGTACTAATTCTGAATTGTAGCCCACAGTCAGAAAGGTTATGCAGTTGTGTCCATTCAACAAATGTTTACTAAGTGCTAGGTTAAATGATGCATGAGTGAACAAAACACAGAATCTTAGCCCTTGTATAGTCCATAAACTAAGCTGGGAGGCGGTCAAACAATAAACATGTTAGAGGGTTATAGCAGCCTGGTGGTGGTTAGTGATTAGGTAGTTCTGATTCGAAGCTGCTCTGTGTGTCAGATGGAACTGCTCCATAGAGTTTTTATATATTTATTTTTAATTGAGTGATAGTTTACATGACAACATGGGTTTTGCGCTCAACCTGTTACATTTTGTTTCACTGCAATGATTACAGTCACCTCCATGCATCACCTGTTAACAGTGTTTGCTTCTAGTTCCATAGAGTTTTCAAGGTAGCCATCTTTCAGAAGCAGATAGGCCTGTAGCAGTAGGTGCCTCGAGTTGGATTTGAACTGCCAGCTTATCAGCTAATCTTCAAGCACTTAATCACTTGTGCCACCCAGGAACTTCAGTGATAAGTGCCTTGGAGAAAAATAAAGCAGGCAGGGATGTTGTTGTTGCTTTGTTAGGTGCCATCCAGTCAGTACCGACTCATAATGACCTTTTGCACAGCAGAACAAAACACTGCCTGATCCTAGGCCAACCTCACAATTGCTAGCATGCTTGAGCCCATTGATGCTGCCACTTTGTCAACCCATCTAGCTGGGGGTCTTCCTCTTTTTCTATGACACTCCACCCTACCAAACATGATATCTTTCACCAGGGACTGGTCCCTCCTGACATTAAGTCCAAAGTATGAGAGATAAAGTTTGGCCATCCTGGCCTCCAAGGAGCACTCTGGCTACACTTCTTCCAACACAGATCTGTTGGTTCTTTTGGCAGCCCATGGTACTTTCAATATTCTCTTCCAACACCATAAATCAAAAGCATCAATTCTTCTATGGTCTTCCTTATCCACTGTCCAGCTTTGCATATGAGGTTATTAAAAATACAATGCATAACGTGGGTCAGGTACATCTTATTCCTCAAGCTGCTATTTTTGCTTTTCAACACTTTAAAAAGGTCTTGTGCAGCAGACCTAATGCAATACGTCATCTGATTTCTTGACTGCTGCTTCCATGAGTGTTGATAATGGATCTAAGAAGAATGAAGTCCTTGAAAACTTCAATCTTTTCTCTGTTGATAAGAATGTTGTTTATTGGTCCAGTGGTAAGGGTTTTTGTCTTCTTTACATTGAGATGCAATCCATACCGAAGGCTGTGGTTTTTGAACTTCATCAGTATTTTATGTCTTCTTCACTTTCAGCAAGCAAGGTTGTATCATCTGCATATTGCAGGTTGTTAATGAGTCTTCTTCCAATCCTCATGCCAGGTTTTTCTTCATGTAACCCAGCATCTTGGATTATTTACTCAGCATACAGGTTGAATAAGAGTACAACTCTGTCACACACCTTTCCTAACTTTAAACCATTCAGTGTTCCTGTGTTCTGTTTGAACGACTGCCTTTTGGTCCATGTACAGATTCTTCATGAGCACAAGTAAGTGTTTTGCAATGCTCATACTTCACAATGTTGTCCGTAGCTTGTTATGATCCGTACAGTTGAAGGTCTTTACCTTTCTGGTAGTTTCTGCTTTCAGCCAAGATCCATTGGAATCAGCAATGATATCCTTCGTTCCACATCCTCTTCTGAATCCAGCTTTAACCTCTGGAAGTTCTCTGTTTATGCTTGAAGCCATTTCTGTATTACCTTTAGTAAAACTTTACTTGCATGGAAGATCAAAGATATTGTCCAACGATTTCCACATTCTATTAAGTCACCTCTCTTTGGAATGGCCACAAATATGGATCTCTTCCAATCAGTCGGCCAGATAGTTGTCTTCCAAATTTCTTGGCGGAGATGAGTGAGTGCTTCCTGTACCATTTCACTTTCTTGAAAGATTTGTTTTCATTCCATCAGTTCCCAGTGCCTTGCTTTTTGCCAATTCCTTCAATGCACCTTTGACTTCTTTCTTCAGTATCACTGGCTCTTGATCATATGCTACTTCTTGAAACGGTTGAACATCAACCATTTCCTTTTGGTACAGTGACTCTGTATTCCTTCCATCTTCTCTTGATGCCTTCTGCATCATTCAATAATTTGCCCAGAGCAACCTTAAATAACAAAAGTAGAGGCTTGAATTTTTTTTCTTCAGTTCCCCAGCTTGAGAAATGCTGAGCGTGTTCTTCCCTTTTGGTTTTTCTGACTCCAGATCTTTGCACATTTCGTTGTAACATTTGACCCTGCCTTCTTGAGCTGACCTTTGAAATTTTCTGTTCAGCTCTTTACCTCCTTATTTCTTCCATTTGCTTTAGCATCTCTACACTATAGAGCAAGTTTCAGAGACTTTTCTGACATCCATTTTGATATTCTCCTTCTTTCTTGTCTTCTTAATGACTTTTTTCTCTGTTACTTTAGGATGTTCTTGATGTCATCCCACAACTCTTCTGGTCTTTGATCTTTAGTATTTAATGTATCAAATCTGTTCTTCAGATGATTTCTAAATTCAGGTGGGATATATTCAAGGTCATACTTTGGCTCGCATGGACTTGTTTTCGTTTTCTTAAGCTTTAGTCTGAATTTACATATGAGCAATTGATGGTCTTTTCCACAATCTGCCTCTAGCCTTGTTTTGGCTGATGACATGGAGGTTTTCCACTGTCTCTTTCAACAGATATAGTCAATTTGATTTCTGTGTATTCCATCTGTTGAGGTCCATGTTTGGGGAAGAGATGGTGGAAAAGTCCTTAGCTAGTATAGGAGTTTTATTCAGCTCTCTTAGCTGCATTCCTTGCACCAGGCATCTGTTATCAGCACCAGTTAATTCTGTTAAGTGGCCTCTAGCTATCTTCTACTTTATAGTCCTTGAACCTTCCTTTAGGAGGTTCCCTGCCTCCTCTCGCTGCTTCTCTTTTCTCTCTCCTTGCCTCTCTTACCTTTCTTGCTTCTTTCTTCCTTCTTCTGTCTGTCAAACCTCCGTGAAGCTGCCTGCATACATAAACTCCTGGTCAGTTTCAAGTCATGGTCTGCCTACCAGGGCCATGAATTGGCCAATCTCTTCTCTGTAGGCTACAGATTCTTCATTTGCTTAGGAGGTTGTAGTCTCTTAGTTTACATTCTTATGTTGACCAGTCCTTTAAGGTACATAAAGGCATAAAGTAGTTCAATCATAGGGCATGCTGTGCTCCAAGGCTTGATAAAAATGATCAAATCACAAATTGTTTACAGTTTACCCTGGAAACACCCATTAACCTGGGCAAAAGTAATACCCTCTGGGATAGAAAACTAGGGCAAAGGTAACTGCAGGCCTTAGGGGGCAAAAATCTTTCAAGCTGTTTTCTAAAGAATCTAGGCAAAAAAAAAAAACCATAAAAGAACT